AGACACAAAAAAAATATATATATGGGTACAAACTAAAACTGAAAATAAAATTGGTATAATTTAAAAAAAGGGTTGCAAATTAAAAATAGGTACAAACTAAAAATAAAAATATATGATACAAAATTTAGCCATAAATATGTGTGTATATATATTTAATGTAATATTTCTAACACTAAATGAATATATTTAGAAAATAAAATTTAATTATCTTGATGTGTAAAATGTTTTATTATTAAAATAATTAATAACGTTAATTAAAACAAAAAAACCTTAAATAAATATTGAAAAAAATAAGATTTTAATTAATAAAGTTTAAAAAAAAAAAAAAAAAAAAAAAAAAAAAAGGGAATGATAACCTAATTCTTCCTTAAGCAAAATATCCAATATTTCGGGACCGCAACTAATTTATATGCCAAAATAGGATTTACCTTCTCATCGGCATTCCTTCTTTTAGACGCAAGGAAGGACACATTGTGACAGCGGCAACAGCAGCAGCATAAGACAAAATGGCTGGTTTGATGTTGTTGTGCTTTCAAAAAAAAATTATTTTTGTTGTGACGTGAGAATAAGCTTATTTTTACTCTTTTACATTTTCAACCTTTTTTCACTCAAAATTGTAAAAATAAATTTTTTTAAGTGTTTACCAAATATCTTTTTAAGCTCAATTTTTTGTATTCACTTTTTATAAATACAACTTAGTACCAAATTAGTACAAATGGAGCTCAGCTGTTACTGGTAGTGTGGTCTGTCCAAGTGTCCATATCATGACGCGGTGGGTGTGGTCCACTTAATTTGTTGTTTTGCTTTTGCATTTAAATTGGTTTTGAAATTGGATAAAAGTAGACCAATCTTTTCTGATTTGGGGAAAGTGACAAATCAAAAGTTCCAAACCCAATAATGTATACACAATTGTGGATTGATATCCAAGCAAAATGATAAGGAACTTTGAACCCCCCCCTTAATCAAGGCTTAAAAGCATGCCATCCCTTTGAAGCTTCAATTTAGCACATGAAAATTGAACCACCAAACTATCTATTTAGTCTCGTGTCATCTCTTTCTTACATTCAATCTTGTTGTGCTTTAGGGTAAAGAAATCGTGGAGTCAAAGTAAGTGACTTGAGACTCCACAACGTTTTAGATTTACAAGTTCATCTCTACGCATATGACTTCCTTTCTTTCAATCTATGTCGATCAACCATCCTTATTTCTTTGAGTTTTTAGGGCAATTTTCTAACACGATGGAGTCTCATTGTCTTGCAAAATTAATCAAATAGGCCACTTGTTTGATCGGCCTCACCAAGATGTTATCTTACTATCGCGGATTATTTTTCCTTGCTAATTACTATTTCTACAATGCCATGTGTCATTTTATATGATTACTATTTGTGTATCTATTTCACACGACGATCTCTACATGCTATGTGTCAAGCCATCTCCAACCAAATGCTATATGCCACTTTTATCCCGTAAATGTGCAAAGTTCATCTCCAATCAAGGGGTATTTCTTAGTTAGCAAGGCTTATATTTTAATAGCCAGGGTTTGCTGTAAGTAGCCTTCTGGCCGACTTTTTATGTAACTTTTGTAGAGGTTGCGTTAGGCTTCTTATCTCTTTCTTCTTTCTCTAAATACAACAACTATTATTGTATAACCCTGTACAACTGTAGATGGAAAAGATATAGTCGAGATTATACATGAAAATAATCTTTTAAAGAGAGGAATCACAGCCCTCTGCCCTCAATAGCCCCTACGTTGTTGGCGATGACTTCATGTCACACGTGTTAATCTCTCTCGATTAATAACTCTAAAAAAAAAAAAACCAATTGTACACAACCATGCATTATGTCTATAACGTTCATGTCTCTTTTGGCTCGATAAATTATGTCTATCTTTCATTTTTTTTTTTTGTAATTTTTTTTGAAGAAATGATATACAAACTTTGTTTAATTATGTTTGTTGTTTTCGTTTAATTAATCTGATGATCAAAACAAAAGGGTAACGCATGACAAGCTAAACTAGTTCTTTTATAAATTACTCAGTGAGAGAAAAACAACATAGTAGGAAGTTGGCAAAATTGCACAATGAAGGCTAACGTGCCATGTTGCCTACTCAATTGTCTCGTGAAAAAAATTTGTGATTCCAAATTATTAGGCAAAACAAGTAAGCAAAATTCTATTTTATTATTTTCTTCAATCTGTAATGTCTACTTTTACTTTTTAGTTTTGTCATCATCCTTCACATAAGATGATTTAGTATTAAAGAAAAAAATAGAAGATATGGAGTCTCATTTGGACCATCTCCAACCGAATGGATTATGTTTAGCTCTCATTCATATTTATAGCCTTGTAAGAAATTATTTTTTAATGAATAGTATTACACCATATTTATATACCATCTCCAACCGAAGAATGTTAATTTTTAGCCTAGTCAATAATTTATTATTTTAAGTTTGTTCTTTAATTTTATTGGTTAATTGAAATAAACTATTTAAGTTTGTTCTTTAATTTTATTGGTTAATTAAATTAAACTATCATATTAAAATAAATTTTTCGAACATATTTTGAGTGTCACTTATCGTTAAATGAATAAGCTTTGGGACATATTTTGAATGCCACTTGAAGATGTGGCCATGTGAAAATTATTGAAAAAAATTAAAGGAATGATTATTAGGAGAGATAAGAGAGGAGTGTATGAAAAAGTGTTTGAAATGAATAGAATTTGAAAATTTGAAATAAAATGAGGTAAGATAATATGAAGTGATGAAAAAATATGTGAAAAATGGTATAGAAATGTCTTCAGTATTTATAGGGAAAAAAATTAGAATTTAAATATTGTTTTTTAATTTCATCTTAAAATAAAATACAGTTACGCTTAACCGAAAGAGCTGGCTGACTAGCTAAAGATGGTCAACCTACCGGGCGTATGGCTGGATTTTGGCCTGATAAGTCCCTAGATTTTTTTGCTTAAACCTCTATTAGAGATAAATTTTAGGGTTAATCTCTGTTTACTAACCCGAGGTTTAGTAGTTTTCAACATTTGGTACATAAAATTTTTTTCATTCAGAATCATACCTCAAGTCTTAATTTTGGGACAGATTCATACATCCGTTAAGTTTTTCGTTAAAATTTCTGTTGAGTGATAACATAGCGTCCACGTGAACAATAACTAAACGTCACGTGTCAATATGGATCCACTTCAATATTAAAAAATTTAAAAAAACATAAATAAATAAATAAATCCCTACCCCACCCCATCTTCTACCTCCCTAAAACCCCTCCCTTCCTTCTTCCCTCTGCAACCCACACCCTCTCACCCAAAACCAGTCTCTCCAACCACCAAAACCAGTCTCCCCCAACCTTCATTCTTCCCTCTACAACCCGCACCCTCCATTTTTTTCTTCCCTCAAATCCAAAACAAAACGTAAACAATGCGAGACCATTCTATTACTTGTTTCCATTGCATCTTAAAGCAACAGTCCCAATCAAATGAAAACCAACACAAAAGTCTAACTTCCAAAACAAAATGCAACAAAGTTCTGAACTTGCGAAAACCTAATCACGAAAACTGAAAAAAAAAACCCCTTTTTCAATCCCACTACCTAATTTTTTAGACCATCCAAACAAAAACCCAGAAGCAAAAAATAGAGAATCCAAACAGACCTGGAAAACTGACGGACGGACTTTTCAGGCTCCGCTGCATTTTTCTCCATCAAGTCCGTTCCGTTCCACCCAGTAATCAATTTTAATTAACCCTTGATCAATTTGATTAGCCTGTAATCAAATGTCAAGCAAAACAAAAGAAAAAAGTTAATCAAATCTGTGGAGAAGAAAATGGGGGAGTTTTGGGAAATGGGAGAAAGTGGAAGAATAAGGGATCCACAACGACAGGGAAAGGGAACGAGAGAAGGAGAAGTATTCGGATGGAGATGGGGAAATGAAAGGGGACGTATGGATAGGAATGGATTTTGATTTGTTTTGATTTTGACTCATCGAGGCTGGAGCTCTCGGGGACGTCTTTTACAGAGGGAAGAAGGAAGGTTGGACCTCTCGGGGTCGCACATGGACTTGTCACGGTTGGATCTGAGGGAAGAAGGAAAGGAGGATACGGGTTGGGGGAGACTAATTTTGGTGATGAAGGAAGGTTGGGGAGAGGGGATGTGCGGTGGGTGCAGAGGGAGAAGGGAGACTGGAAGGAACGGATGGATGTGCGGTTGGTGCAGAGGAGAAGAAGAAGACATCTTTTTATTTTTGGTAATTTTTTTTAATTTTTTAATGTTTAACTTTTAATTTTTAACATCCACTTGGGATCTTATCATGTGACGTCTAGTTATTGTCCACGTAGGTATCATGTCATCAATTAACGGAATACTTAACAATCAGACTAATGGAAGTATGAAACTGTCTTAAAATTAACACTTTATGATTCTTGGACAAAAAAAAATTTATATACCAAATATTGAAAATTACAAAATTTGAAAGTAGCAAACAAAGATCCTAAATTTTATGTAAAAAAAAAGTAATATTTTGGTCTTAAATCCTATGATCGCTCGGTTGGAGGTGACCCAAGTAACACTGCCGTTTAGTTTTCACCAACGTGGCCCATCAAAATTTGATTTGTCAACTCAATTGCGAGATGCTCTAATGCTAATTGTAACTAGAGAGAAAAAACAAAGTAAAAAAGGCATCCCCCATTGCCCAAAACTATAACCATCAACGACAGTCACTTTCAATCCACTCGGTCAGGACGGGATGGCACGCCCTCAAACTCAAACCCTCTCTCTCTCTATCTCTCTCTCTCTCTTTCAAACTTTGAACGAAGGAATAGTAAGGCGGTGCCAAGCAGCTTGAGCCAACCAATACCCCCATTCTTTTCTCATTTTCCTCAATGACTGCTCTCTCTCTCTCTCATGTGTGATGTGCGGACCCTAGTTTAGCTCTCCCAACCAGCGGCGCCATTAATCTTTAACTTGGCTTCCAAGCTCACCCACCTCCCCCTTCTCTTCCTCCCTCTCCCCAGTCTGCACTGCATACATAGCCATATCATATCATAACATTTCATCCACATCCCAAAAATTTTATAAACAAATCCAAACACCCACCTCTCCCCTTCTCTCTTCCACTTCCTCCTCCCCCATCAACTTCATAACCCCCAAAATCCTCCCTCTCCTTACTCTTTATTTTATTCATATCTCCCCAAAACCCACCAATCATTTACCTTGTTTCAGTTCAGGAGCTAGACAGAGAGATAGAATATATATATATATATATAATATAAAATTAAAAAAAAAGGCAAAAACAAAAGAGAAGGAGAGAAAGGATCAACAAAGATGAAAGGTGAATATGTTGACAGCAAGAGTGAGTCCCAAAACATCTTCTCCAAGCTTCACCACCAAAACCTCCACCACCCCCAGCCCCAACACCCCCACTTACACCACCACCCCCACCAATTTTCCAACCCTTTCCAAGTCATCCCCCACCGTGAATGCCAAACCTCTGAAGAAGAAGACACCAGCCGAACCAGCAGCGGCACCGCCACCGTCACCAACACCAACCCATCTCCCCACAACCCCCACCCCACCTCCTCCGCCGACCCCATCAACAATAACAATCCTTCTGCCGACGGAGCCACCATTGAAGTCATCCGACGGCCCCGAGGCCGCCCACCTGGCTCCAAAAACAAACCCAAGCCCCCCGTCATAATAACCCGCGACTCCGAGCCTCCAATGAGCCCCTACATTCTCGAAGTCCCCTCCGGAAACGATGTCGTCGAAGCTGTTTCTCACTTCTGTTCTCGCAAAAACATCGGGCTCTGCGTTCTCACAGGCTCCGGAACCGTGGCTAATGTCACCCTTCGCCAGCCGTCAACCACGCCAGGCGCCACCGTCATTTTTCACGGCCGTTTCGACATCCTCTCCATCTCCGCTACTTTCCTCCCCCGCTCGTCGCCGTCTTGCCCCATATCCATCCCCAGCGGCTTCACCATCTCTCTGGCGGGCCCGCAGGGTCAGATCGTTGGAGGCCTCGTGGCCGGGGCCCTTACCGCCGCCGGAACGGTTTACCTAGTCGCCGCGTCGTTTAACAATCCTTCTTATCATCGCCTCCCCGTGGAAGATGAGGTGGTCAGGAACTCGGGCTCGGGTGAGGTCCATTCGCCGCAGCTGTCCGGGGGTGCAGAGAGTGGAGGACACGCGCCGCAGCCTTCACAGTCGTGTGGGATGCCCATGTACAGCAGTCACATGCCTACTGATATAATATGGGCTCCAACTGCAAGGCAACCACCACCTCCGCCTTACTGAAAATGTTGATTAATTTTCTGTCTCTTTTTTCTTCTCCTTTTTTGTTTTGTTTTTTATTTTATTTTCAGTGAGTACTCAGAGTAGTTAGTGTTGATTAGAAACTAGAAGTTGGTTTTATTATTATCTGAGTTTGGGTACTTAAAAATATTGAAGTTCTTGTCTAATTTCTATGTGAATTCCCATTGCTGTTCTATGCGAATTTGGTTATTTGTTTTGATGCAGGATTTTTAAGTGAGGTTAGAATTTAGAAGCTGTTTTTCTTATTAATTCATTACTTATTTTGCCACTTAATAATAATAATAATAAAAGAAAACTTATGAAGATGATTTGAAAATTTTGAGTTTTAATGACATGGACAAAATAAAAGATAAAGTGAATACTATCAAGATTGATTTTTTATTGTAAAAATGTGATTTTTTGTTAAAATAAACAGTACCGTGAACTTTTTAGAGAGGATATTGACATTCTCTCATGGTAGTCATTCATCATGCTTCTCTCCCCATTCGAAAATGAAAAACTGAAACCAGAAACGTGAAGCATGACTATGTTAGAGTTCTAATATCAGTTATTTATGATTTAGAGTGCTAATTACCATTGTTATTCTATGCTGTTTTAGTTTATATTTAGATGATTATCGCAAGTGTAAGATTAATATATTTGAAGGGGGGATATTAAACCATGCAGTATTTTTATGTGAATTTAGACTTTGGAAGCTGTTTCTTTTGTTATTTATTTTTATCAAATATTAAGTGGTTAATAAGATAGAGTATTTGATAGGAATGGGTTAGTGACACTCGAGTAGTCACACTTCTTTTGCAGTTTGAAACTGAGAAATCTAACTATTTTAGAATGCTAATAACAATTACGGAGCTTGAATGCATTAGGTTTCCAGTAAGGTATTTAATAATGTGGTCAGTTATGATATGTTACCGTGAAAAGATAACACGGTCTGTGTGACTCTCAGAGGCTGAGTCCTGAGTTTTTCAGCTGCTGCGGTGCTGTGACTGTGAGCCTGTGGGGTGTCTTTAATGGGGTCTGGCCTGGCTCTTGCCCCTTGGGCGGTGTCAAAAGTCGAAATCAAAATTCAAAAGTGCTTTTCTTTTTTGGCTTTTGATGGGGTTTTGGAAAGAGAGGTGTGGTGGGTTGTGGATTTTAGGATTGCTTTGAAGTTTGGAGCAATGGCTTAATGGGAAGGAGGGGTTTCGAATGGGTAGTAGTACTATTTGATTCTGATGCCTTAGCTGTTTTCTGCTCTGGCTTTCTGCAGAAGCACCACTGGCTCAAAGATAATGCGTGATTTCTTTTTATTTGAGTTTTCTTAGCTTCTGAATTTTCTTTGCCAGTCCAGTCGGATCCTTTTCATACACTCATATCTAGATAGAGAGATTGCTTTCATTCTTCTGTCCACTAGGTACTTAAATGGTCTCTGACGATAGCAGAAGAACATGCATGTCGAGAGTAAATTCCACCATGGGAAGAAAGATCAATTTTATGTGTGCTTATGAGTAGTTAGGGCTTCCTCTTCTATCTGGATAGAAATGATACATACTAATACGATGTTTTATGTCAATGATAAAACGATATATGGATAAGTTTTGTTTATCTAAGTTGTATCTGGCACACGACGTTACAGTAGTATAATTTATCGTGCCATAGAAATTTAGAACTTGGCTACAATATAACTGGTACTGAGTACAATCACTGATTCACGATTAGATGATCACCGATTCATGATTAGATATGTTGTAATGACGTCTAACGATCATATCCAACAATTTATAAGTGATTGCATTAAGTACAACAATAGAATGTACTTAACTAGTCCGGCAAATGTGTTGTCCCTCGACTTTATTTCTTCTCCATGTTTATTCGCAATCAAAAACATGTGTACTTAGTGGTTTGTCACCATCTCTACTTTGCTCCCCATCCTTTCCATGATGGGAAAGAAGCAACATAATGAAAGCCAAAGCGTGCTGGCTTTCCCGAGTCTAATAAAAACTATATTATTTCATGCTTTATTTATATTTTTTTATTTCTTGAGGAAAAAAAAAAAACAGAAGAACCACTTTGTTTCGTGTCATGTTTTGTAGTTGTTGCAAATTGCAAATCAGAGTGGAATCTTCAACGTGGGTGTGTTCTTATATGGTCCATGCTGTTTTTTGTGTCTGGAAATGTTTGTATTCGTATCTTATACATGGGGGGGGTGGATTCCAATTACGACCAAACCAGCCGCTTTGTGTTTGATTTTCAAACAACAGATGAATCGGGGGATTCGTTCTTGGAATCTCTTCTAACATGGATCGGGGAATTCTTTCTTGTAATCTTGCTAAGCTAATAGTTAATTGGTTGTTGTATCGGTATATAACATGATGAAATTTTGAATGTTATGATAGTACAAAATTTTGAAGTCAAGAAAATAATTACTACAGAATATCATGTTCCCATTGATTACTCTCTTTTGTTTGTTACGTTCTTATAAATGAAATATCACTAACGTGTCATGTGAAAAATAAACATTGGAAACATTTCATGAGGAGAAAAAGTAAGGGCCATAGAGTTCAACCCATTCTTTGACAAAAAAAATGAAAATTAAAAGCTACAACCAGAATTGTTTCAAACAAGCTCATAGTAAGCATCTGTGTACTAGAATTTTGGGATATAAGACTTCTTTTGGAAATGATTATTTAAAAAACACTTCTACTCGTAAGCGTTTGGATCTATTATAGAAGCACACTCGTATTAATTAAAAAAAAAAACTAAAAGAAATTTTATTTGAACCCATATAACATCTTTCTATACTCAATTTACTTTGTACACTCATATTCCTTTATAATTAAATTATCAATACATCTTTACATCCGAAGTTACTACCTAAACTAACTTCACAAACTCAATTTAATATATAATTTATCTTTACACCCATTTAGAAAATAAAAACCCAAAATCAATGCTTTGTAACTCATTCAAGGTGTAAAGAGAGCAGTATCTATCGCATATTTGTCTCGTACGTACTTAATCTTTCTTCTACTGATTTTGCTTAATCCTATATATGTTTTAATTAATCCTTCACCTGTTGATTTTGCTTAATCCCATATAGATGATTAAAAAAAACTAAAAAATTTAAATCGCATATATGTTTCTGCTATGCTTTGGACAAGGCGCTGATTTTGTTTGTTAATCCTTAAAAATTGGAATCAAACGACAAAAAAAAAAAAAAAAAAAAAACCTTGCATAAATTGATTCAAAAGAGGCATCCATGTGATAAAACACTGGGAGACAAATTAAGGGTCCTTCTGGAAATGCATCTTTGAAAAACAAAAGAAAAAAAACTTAAATTTTAGGTGCTTTTGCAAAAAGCACTTACATTTTTTACTATACAAAGAGTCATTTTTTAATAAGAATGTAAGTGCATTTTGGAAAAGCACCAAAAGTCCAAGTATTTTTTAACCTATAAGCACTTATAATTTTTTGCCATGTATAATAAAAAATGTTTTATTGACCTAAAAGAGCATGTAATTATTTTGAAATTACTTCTAAACATGCATTGAAAAATGTAAAGGTAAAACATTCTACTCAAAACTACTTGGACACTATTTTGAAGAGTAAGTTAATTTAGCATGGTATCAGAACATGCATCATGCTTAACTGTTAGATGTGTGCCAAAGTAATTAATCATAAGAAATGAACAAGGTGATACACCACATGAGGTGAATGCAAATATTGTCTAATATGATATCTTCATTTTCAAAGCTTACATAGATATATGAAAACCGGTAGTGGATTTTGAAATTCATATCCTGATTAAGTTCATTGTCAAAACTTACTGTGTAAGGGACATGATTGTATACAGTTTACCTAACCAAAAATGAAGTCTTTGATCATCTAGTTTGTCAACAAGCACCTACATTTTGAAAATGTTTCGAGAGAATGCGAGTATTATTCGTCTACCTAAATCCAAATTTTCCTTTTACTTTTTTAATGAATCCTTTTTCATAGTGTTGGACTTGGATGCATTGACTATAAGAGAATAAAAAGTTACACAATTTTGATTAATTTTTATCTATTGATATTTTTTAATTTTTTTGAACAGACAATCGAAAACAGAAGAGAATGTGAAAGGTAAAAGAAGATGCGTAGATAGCGCCACCATTAATATAATTAACCAGCAGCCACGCAGCCGCCCCCTTTTCTGGACTATTATTAATCTTTTTTTGTCTTAATTTCAAATGTTTGTTCTAATATTAATCATGATTCTGCTGACTTAACTTTTGATTAACATTCTTATTAATGATTTCGCCGATCTTTATGGTCAGCAGCCACCAATAGACTTACTATTTTCATTTTATCGGTGCTAATTAAACCTAATGGTCTCCGCAACTCGCTGGCTAGTTGTTTTCCACTTGATTTTCTCTTTTCTGGTTTTTTTTTTTTTCTTTTTTTGCCCTAGATTCATATGAACAATGAAGTTAGCGAGATCTTAAGACTCAGAGAACCTTGATATCACTTAAAAAAACAGCACCACTCACTATTAAACAATACGATGATATACTTGCTTGCATTCCCCACTTGGAGGGGATGAACTCATTCTCTCTTTGTGATTAACGTATTTTTGTTGTACGAATTTCATAAGGGAACCGTTCAATTTCTTAATTTTCATTTAAAGATCATCCTTATAAAAAGTTATTTCAATTGAAAATCATTTAGTCTTTCAAATGTATAAAACAAATCGATGATGTAGGTATCAATTAAATATTCATGATGAACTGTTCATTTGTTGGATACATTCGGATGATTAAACAATATGTAATTCGAATAATTGTTTTGTAGAAGTGATCATCTAATGAATTGATTAATAAATTATACAGTTCGAATGTTCAATTTATTCGGTTAAGACATGGGGATGCAAGTATTATCCTAAACACTAATTATTCATGGTAGTTATTAACTTATTGTTGAGGTAACATTCACGATTGCTTACTATTTTATTATCTCTGTTGAACTAAAAACTGTGTCAAAATGTCACTTTATACACTAAAATCCACATTTGTACTCTTTACCTTTTTCCATTAAATAACTACCATGAGTTGTTGTCCATTGCTTATTCCTCTTTTTTACATTGATAGTTCAACTTACTGTGAAAACGAATTAGCTGGTTCAGTTTTACTAAAACCGCCATTGACATTGAATTAAA